TTTTGTGTACCGTAAAATTGTATTTTCTGATATAATTGAATACCTGAGTTGTTCTTCAAAATGTTGACCATTAATATTAATAAAATAAATGTATTTATTATCCAAAAATAAGAATATTAAATAAATAAAATAAAGGGAATAATTCACAAGATCAAATGTTTCTCACATATTGTCTATCATAATCAGTCAAATATTGTAGAGAAGAAAATGAATAACAAAAGATAAAAATGTGCTTTTTTTTCTTTTATCATAGTTTTATATTATATTTCTCTCATTAATATGTTACATGATTAGGTGAAGATAAATTGAATAAAACAAAAAATCTTTTGACAATGTGCCACCTTTTGAACTTAAAATGTGGAATTCATATGTGTTTTTTACGCTAATTATACTATTCTCGTTTTCAAAAAGCAATGGGTCTGAGTATCTTTTAAATAAGTTTGTACGCGAATAATATAGGGAGCTGAAATTTCACTGTGCAAGCAACAAGTTTCAGGATAATGCATGTATGTAGAAATCTAATTGTTCAACAAATGATTAATCAAGTGAATACTCTGTAGAGATTTTGAAAAAGCTCTTTCTATTTGATCTATTTAAGTCCTCACATTCTGCTATACTCTGCTCCATAGTTACAAAAGTTTTTTCAAGATCCATGATTTCAGTGAATCGCCATTTTGTCAGTCTTTAAAGGAATTCAAAATGAAAATATTTCATTATGTTAGGTCAAATGTCGATCTTTATTTTTGATCTCAGAAAGATTTAAGACCACTTTTTCAGTATTTTTGAATTTTTAAAAGCCTCAAAAAGATATTTTGAAGTTGACTTAACAAATTTGCTAACACAAGAAGGGTATAAGTGCACTTTACGCAAACATCTTTGTTTTTGCGATTTTTTCACTTCTACGCTTTTATTATGCTCAGAAAACAATAAAACAACTTTAAAAACTTGGCGATCATCGATCTGAGCCGATTTTAGACCATTGAAAACTTTCAAAAGTACTTGATGCTCCTGTACTCAATATAAAGAAGAAATTGAAGAAAAATTCCTAGAGAACAAGAAAGCTTTGTTATGAATAAAAAATAAGTGAAATGAGATCAAAAAATGTGCATTCAGTACTGTATAAATGTGAAGGGATGATCCAATAATATATCATGATGAATAAATGAGAAATCGTTTTATTCAAAAACAATAACATAACAAACACATATTCGAAAAGAATATCAATTGAATTCATTGTCCTCTGCTTCTTCATTCTCAATTTCATAGTCCTGAAGGACCTGCTCTTCTTCATTGCGAGTTGGGTCGTAGAGCTGACCGTCCATTTGAAGAAACTCAACGGTGGGATCCAAGTGCAACGCGCGACAACGCTTCATGAACATGTATTTGGCCAAATGGGATGAAAAAAAGTACTTTTTGCGATGATACTGAGGCATGACGACTTTTGCGTGTCTCCAAGAAGTTTCGATGGAATTGGTACATGCACCAGTTTCAGGATCCTTGAAAATGATCGAATGATTAACCTTCAGGTGTTGATAGCCCTCATCACCCAAACTGTCGTAAGAATCCTAACAATCGGAGATGATGGTTGTTCCTGGGAGGATCCAGTCCTTGATGATAGGAATCAGTGTAGCTGCATCTCTAAAATTTTAACAACACAGCATCAGCTTAATACACTGGAACTTCTAATTCGTACTAATTTATCTCTCTTTAAAATAAAACAAACCTTTTCTCAATTGGAATCATCGCAATATGACTGGTTCCTCGTTCAAATATGCCAAACACCCATTGACCTTCGACTAGGTGGCCTTTGTAATACTTCCTGCGTCCGAATTTGGACTCATCAATTTCCACTTCAACTCCGAAGCCACCAAACTTTTGTTTGTTGAGAATGAGAGCATCATAAATCACTTCCCGACAATAAGAAGCCCAATTCACAGTAGTATGCTTCGAAATCTCCACTTGCAATCCTAAAGTATCAACAGTTAAACTACCCAAAACAAATGAATCAGGTGTGCAATTATTACTTACCAATAATATTCAGACCAACATTCATGACCCACAAATTCACGAAGACCAAGATTTGTCAAATGGACAAGTGAGATCGAGCAAAGAACGTTCCTTTGCGAAATCGAGCTTGATAAGTGCATCTCTTCTTGTCCCGTCTCTTTTTACTAATTCCACCCCCAGTTTCAATCCAGTTGTGACAACTCCATCGGAATCCATCAATACTATAACACAGCGATCATTAAAAAATACAAATAAATAATAATTAATAACGTACTCGGAATCACATACACCAAGTCGAAGTGAACCAGAACATTCCGAACATATATAGTTTGACTCCTCAGGAATCAAACCCCGCTGTTGCAATTGCTGGACAAGAGCTTCCTTCTCTTTACACAAATCAAGAATTGATCGAATATTGAGCGGTATATCTTCAATAATGAAATATTAAAATAAAGAAAACTTTTTTAAGAAAAAAAACAATTTGAATTATCATGAAATGGTTGAAACGAAATAAAATTTGTTTTAAAAATTAGGTAATGAAGACCAAGCATTTTTGAAAGTTTTCAATGGTCTAAAATCTGTTCAGATCAATGACCGCCAAGTTTTTGAAGTTGTTTCACCATTTTCTGCGCATAATAAAACTGTAGAAGTGAAAAAATCGCAAAAACAAAGGTGTTTACGTAAAGTGCACTTATACCATAAGAAGTTCTATTAATCTTTGTGACTCTAGAACTAAACAATCTAGAAAGTGAAGGCTCGTGCAAACTGACTGGCAAATAGTTTCAGAATATCTTTTTTTCACAGAACCCACCAGACTGATCAGTTTTTGAACAATCGGATTTTGGTATGTGCAAATGATCTAATGATAAAGTTTTACCTTGAAATTTTCTCGACAAATAGATCCTCACATCTTGATGTATTTAACATTCAAAAACTAGTTAGATCTCAGCTATATTCGTACAATTCGTCTATCAATATTCTGTTTTGTAATGCTGGCTTATACAGCGCTCGTAAGTCTTTGGACAAGATCTGCGAGTCTGAATTCTTTTGCGATCATCCTAGTTGAGATATTCTACATGTTCAGAGCATGAAATCGAACATAATGAATAACTTCAGACAGTTCTTACCTGAATGATTGCATACTTTAATCGATATTTTTTTTTGGCTTCTTTATATCATACATCGATTGGTTTTCTATCTACCGCGACAGTTCTAATTATCAAAATGGTAGAAATCTTGCAAGAAGCTCATGAAAATGTAGCATAATTCATGAACGTTCGTGATGTCTATATTTCAATCGTATACTGCCTCTTAATCTATTCCTGGAATGGAAAAAAAAGACGTTAAAAAGAATACATTAAAAAGCAACATTTACACTAATGTTGGCGCCAGAAATAGATGGAGAAAACTCTAAGACGAATATCTCGAGAATAGAAGCAGTTAGATGCGTGCAGTTTTCATCATTGGAAAGAACAATGGTAGGAGCATCGATATATATAAGATTCCTTAGGTTTAGAGAGTTTTTATATTGGTATCTCTATATTGATATTTTGTTCGTTGCTGATTTTCATCATTTTTCTGACGAATTTCAATAGAAATTATACCAAAATATAACTCAAAACACCATATATTCATGATAAAATTTCCACTATTTTTTACTAACTTCTCACCTTTTTTCTTTGATTAAGTTTCTTGAGAACGTGATAAATTTTATTATGAATATATGGTATTTTGAATTATATTTTGGTATAATTTGTATTGAAATTCGTCAGAAAAATGATGAAAATCAGCAACGAACAAAATATCAATATAGAGGTACTAATATAAAAACTCTCTGAACCTAGTGAATCTTATATAGATCGATGTTTTTTACATTGTTCTTTCCAATGGTGAAAACTGCAGGCCTTTAATTGCTTCTGTTCTCGAGATATTCGTCTTAGAGTATTCTCCATCTATTTCTGGTGCTGATATTGGAAAGACATATACACATATACGGCTTTCATGAGAGAAAATACCTAACTGTTAGCTGTCAATAAAAGTTATATGTAATCTTAGTGGAAATAGAAAAATCGTAAAAGATTATCAGTTATATACTCTCTCCTTATATATTTATAATCATTTTATCAGATTTTCACCTTAAACTTTTACATGAATAGGTCTCATGTTTCCTAGATTATCCTGAAAACTGAAGTCAAAATGAATTGTTTTTTCTCAAAATTTCAAACATTCAAAAATCGATTAAATGTCACAAAAGTCATAAAAGACAGTTTTTTTTCAGAATTAGATATCTCTAGGAGAGAAATATCCATTTTAACTGAAACTTTCACAATATTCTAAGAATCATGAGAAATACTTTTAGGCAAAATTTCAGATGTACATTCGTCATTTTGATTGTTTTATATGGTCGAGCAAAGTTTTCCAATCGTCGCCTTACATAACTCTGTAGCAATGGGTATAGTTCGTTGGTTCCAAAAATTTTGAACTCGGATTCAGAACCATTTCGATCGGCTCTATACTAATTTAATCCTGTACACTTATAAATTTGATCATTTAAAAACTGATGAAAAAACCACGATCTCATTACATTCGAATAATTCATTATTCAATTTTCATTATAAGTCATCTAGACATTAATTTGAAACTCAGCTTTCTTTCAAAGAAATTTTTTTTTTCTATCTAATCAAACCTACATCTATAATATACCCTTGTCAAAAAAATCTATTTACAAATAAAAAACTCTTCGTACATAAACGCCAAATTTAAGGTTTTTTATATTTACAAAATAAAAAAAAAAGAAATCTTGCAATTATTCTACATACAATTGATGATGGTTTTTCTTCCGATGCAGTTTTTCGTTGATCAAGTGTAGTTTCAGATATTGTTGATATTGCACTATGTTCATAATTTATATCCATTGATGTAACAAGATTAGTAATTGAAGTATTTAATTGTTTGCCAAGCATATTTGTCTATTTAAATATAAAAACAAAAAACATAAATTAAAATATTTCAAAAGAAAGTTAAAAAAAAACCTTTTTTACGTTATTTGAATCTAAAACCAATTTCGATCTGGATATATGATAAACGTTGACTAATTAAATAAACTACGATTTTTTTGTCTAAATATAAACTAAATATCTTGATATTTTCAGCAACAATGAAAAAAAAGGCGAAAACTTGTAATTCTTTTTCAAATCTTCACATTATGACTACCAAAAGAGATTAAAATTGACATATTAAATGATGACTTATTTTTTAGTTCTTTTTTTTTAAGACTTAAAATTACCTCAAGACTTCTTAGCTACTATTTTCTCTCTCTCTTTCTCTGATCTCGTATGTCTATCTTCATCCTACAATATGAGATAATGTGAACAATTGCTACACAAATAATGAAGTGTATTTAATTCAATCCCAAACACATTGACG